ATTCTGTACTCAAGAGATGAGGGACCAATTTCTGTTCCTTGGGACAGAAGTAATCAGGTAGGTAACTATTTAAATAAATAATCAGCTTAAAATAGTCATTGGATACATACAGAATAAAACATAATAAAGCGTTGATACTGCTAATTTAAAAATATATAGAGTTTGTTTGATCAAATTATGCTGCGGCTTTGCAAATGACATTGCAGTGATACATTTTTAAAAAAATACGAGTTGATTTCAGCGGTCAGTTTTGTGTAAAAATGTCACTTATGGAGGTCTGATCCAATAAAAAAGGTGCATACATGTCAATGCAAGAGTCCAGCACTCTGTAAAGTCTCCTCCAGCACATCCCAAAGTCTCTCAATGAATTTAAAGCTGCAATACCTAAGATTTAGATGCCGCTAGAGGGCGCTACATTCAAAACAACAACAACGGCTTTGCTTGATGACGACGTGGAGGAACGCGGAATGATGGGAACTGTTGTTTTTTAACTCCACCGTGGATAAATCAGTCAGACGGGAATCGAAAATTAGTTGTCATGGATGAGGTAAAGTTCGATTTCTATAAACGTTGCGTTTAATGACATGCTTGTTTTTCATTAACTGAAATAACCGCAAGAAAAGTCAGGTTTAAAAGTAAATTAGTTACTGTACGAGTCACTGGACGAAGCTATGGTGGAGAGGGTTTGAAGGGGCAGGTCTCTTGCAAGGAGTTGACGTGGCTGGTCCTCCTTGGTAACTTTATAAAAATAAAAAATCAATTTAATGTACATTTGACACATCTTTTCATGTCGTGTAAGTATTCAACCACAGCTACAGTTTCACAAAATGAACGTTAAGGGGGTCGCACACCGGACGAGAAGCTGCAGCGCCGCGTCGCGCCACATCTTTAAAATTCGAAAACATTATTATCTATAAGTGTAACGTTACACATACCGGCAGCGCCATTCGGCGTCTGTTCGCGGCGCCCAGCAACAACGCCTCAGGACCGTGTTCAAAACCCTGCTGCGCCACAGAGTGCCATTTACATAGTTTTATATAAAATTTTAATTATTTTTGTCTCAAATCGTTGCTAATGGATCCTGACTTTGCCCTATGCTGCAATATGCATTTAGTTTTGCAGTCATTTACAGAAATCAGCTGCTTGAATGACAATTGCTGATGTTATCATTAGAATTTTCAGGTGAGATTCTCAATTCATTCAGTGAACGGATGCTCTGAGGTAAAGTTTTCAGAATGCAGACTCAGCAACGATTGTATTTAATTGTACAGTACAATAACATAGCAATAACAATACCAATAACAATAACATGTCAATAAACATAACAATATTGCTGGCCATACACTGATGAGAAAGTGCGCGTCCGGTGTTCGATAACGTTACTGTGGAGTTGTCCTAAACGTGGCGCGACGCTTCTCGTCCGGTGTGTGACCCCCTTTACAGCCAACAGTTCACATTCCCAGAATAAATGAAAAGAATAATTGTGCTCCATTCCATAACAAATGCGCGAAACAAGCTTACGTTTGTTGCTTGATAGACGCTAACGCACAACTACAACTACCGCATTTGTCCAGGACTACACGTAGTACGAGCGGAAACCGAGGTAAGCGGATATGACGCGATTGACTGGCGACTCCCAGCTCACCCCTGCTCACACGCCCCGTTTCCTTGGTTAAAATCTCAATTTTCTCGCGATTTAAACATTGTTTGAAACATTTGGAATATTGTAAGTTATCATCATAACTAAATATATAACACTGGCCTTGTGATTTTGGGATATTTGAATGCAAAAATCTTAGGTATTCCACCTTTAAGCTCTGGACTTTTCACGTGTGAAAATGATTCTTCATGATCCTCACAACCATTCTTTCACAATCAGAGCCTCATGAATCTTGACATTGTCATCCTGGAATATGGCCATGATGTGTCTCAAACATGGTTGGTTAAGAAATGAAAAGCAACACACTCAATTAGGGTTAGAAGAACTGTTGCCAAACATATAACACATGATAGAGACATTAATCAGTGAAATAATGATCCAGTCATAGACTCTTAAGCATTTGCCTTCTGAAATCCAAACAGTGACTTTTTGGCTGAGTAGTTTATATACAACATACTTTTTTAGTAATCCCTTATTCACAAGAAGTACCTACTTTTCATATAATGGGTTCTAGTTTCTTCATGTCTGAAGAAAAAAAACTTAACATCTCTGCCCTCTGCAGGTGTATTTGGGGTATAACAACGTGGCGGCTCTCACAGTCTTGGCTGGAAAACAGGGATGGGAGGCCAGTAACATCAACGATAAGGTCATCACTATGTTTATGTTTCTAAATGCTATATAAATGAAACAAATGATTATTATGTGATATTATTATATTACATTAGTATTATGCACCTAAATATGGCTAGTCAGTGCTTAAATACTGTGTTTTTACAGGTAGGGGTTTACGTGCATGAGGAAGCAGATATGTTGTGCTTAAGAGTTGAGATGGAAGTCAAAACATCGGCTTTTCACGCGTTCTCGCTGCTCGCTGACCTGCGGTTACGGCCACAGTGGGACAAGAACTATCTGTAGGCAATCTGTATCCCTCTTTCTGTTAAAAGTTTTGCAATCGTATTTAAAATTGTGTTTCTCATCATCTGCATACGTCCGTGTTTCCTCCAGGAGCTGTGAAGAGGTGGAGAAAGCAGATGAGGAGGAAACCATTTATCACATAAAATGCGCCACAGTTAACGGAGATAAAAGTCGTGATTTCGTGTTCCTGTTGTCTAAAAGGCAACCCTGCAAAAATGGGTATGACTCCATAGTTAACATGATTCATTTTTGGGTGAACAAGACTTAAATGTGAAGCTCAAAATGTATTTTTGTTCTCACAGAGACCCATATGTCATAGCGCTCCGGTCCGTCACCGTGGCAACAGTTCCATCTGAGGAGAACTCCATTCGGAGCGAAGCTAAATGTGCAGGATTCCTCATTCACGAAATTGGCTTTTTAACCTGCAAGGTACCAACTATAACATCTGAAACTCAATAAAAACAAAATAGTTTTCTGCTGAATCGGAACATTTCTGTCTGCATTTCTAGGTGTCGTACTACAACCAGGTGACCTCTGGAGTGCTGCCCTATGTGGAGGGAAACCTAGCAGGCTGGTCCAAATCTATGGAAGAGACGGCAATGTCCTGCATTTCCTTTCTGGAGAGAGATGTACTTAACACAGAGTTCTGATGCGCAACATTGTGGACTATCTTTTATTTAAAGGGTTAGTTCACCCAAAAATGAAAATTAAGTCATTAATTACTCACCCCCATGCTGTTCCAACCCCGTAAGACCTTCGTTCATCTTCGGAACACAAATAAAGATATTTTTGATTGAATCTGAGAGCTGGATCAGTCCTACATAGACTGCCTAAGGGACTGGCTCTTGACGGCCCATAAAGTCATTAAAGAAAAGGTTTAAATATTCCATGTGCCTACAGCGGCTCAATTATAAGTTTATCAAGCGACGAGACTACTTTTTGTGCGAAAAAAACATAAATAACGACTTTATTCCACTATTCCATTACTTCCTTATGGGCGCATGCGCGAGAACTGAGACGAGGACGTTCTCATTCGTCTACTTCTTGTTACCGGCTGCTCACCGCTTAGGAGTTTTACCGCCCCCTACCGTATAAGATGATGTGCTGATATAGCTGGAAGCGCAAACTAACTTTCTGTTTACAAGCAGAGGAAGATGCGCGCTGTACATACGCTTTTCAATTTGCGTATTTTCCGCTCTATAAGGTGCACTTAAAAGCCTTTAATCTTCTCAAAAAACGACAGTGTTCCTTATAATCCGGAGCGCTTATATATGGATCATCATTTTATACGGTAGGTGGCTGTAAAACTCCTAAGCGGTGAGCAGCCGGTAACAAGAAGTAGACGAATGAGAACGTCCTCGTCTCAGTTCTCGCGCATGCGCCCATAAGGAAGTAATGGAATAGTGGAATAAAGTCGTTATTTATGTTTTTTTCGCACAAAAAGTAGTCTCGTCGCTTGATAAACTTATAATTGAGCCGCTGTAGGCACATGGAATATTTAAACCTTTTCTTTAATGACTTTATGGGCCGTCAAGAGCCAGTCCCTTAGGCAGCCTATGTAGGACTGATCTAGCTCTCAGATTCAATCAAAAATATCTTTATTTGTGTTCCGAAGATGAACGAAGGTCTTACGGGGTTGGAACAGCATGGGGGTGAGTAATTAATGACTTAATTTTCATTTTTGTCATGTGGCGACTGTCATGTTTAAAGGGATAGTTCACACCCCCCATCTGTCATTAATAACTCGCCCTCATATGGAAACTTGTTTCTGCCACTTGATGAAAAAAAAAACTTTATTTATCACAATTGCGAGATATAAAGTCAGAATTGCCTGATATGTCGCAAATGCGTGTTATAAAGTCAGAATTGCGAGATATAAAGTCAGAACTGCGAGATATAGTCAGAATTGATTGATATAAAGTCAGAAATGCATGATATCAACTATTCTGAGGGGGAAGAAAGTGAGTCTTTTTTCCCCTTATTGGCCTGATAACTCAAGTTTCAAGTTTACATCTCACAATTCTTAAAAGTCACAATTCTACAAATTAAAATCACAATTCTGAGAACTAAAGTCGCAATAGCTAGAAGTAAACTCCCAATTATGAGAAAATAAAGTCAGAATTGTGAGATTAAGTCTCAATTTTGTCTTTTTTTCCCCTCAGAATTGTGATTTTATTTCTCTATATCTCGCGGTTGCGACTTTAGATCTCAGAATTGCGACTTTAATTTTTAGAATTGCGACTTTATATCTCACATTTGCAACTTTATTTCTCACAATTCTGACTTCATATCTCGCAATTGTGAGATAAAGTCGCAATTATTATTATTTTTTTAATTCTGTGGCGAAACAAGCTTGATGCCGTTTTAAACTCGTGAGACTTTTGCTCACCTTCAGAAAACAAATCATTATCTTTTTGATGAAATCTGAGAGCTTTGTTCCTCCATCGACAGCCGTGCAACTGACACATTAAAAATTATATCTAAAACTAATCCATATGAAGTGAGTGGTTTAGTCCAAATTTTCTGAAGACTTAATCGCTTTATATGAGGATTAGATTTAATTCAGGCTTTTATTCATATAAAATAAAAAAAGAATGGCTGTCAATAGAGGGTCCTTTCTGTGTGAATTAACCCTTTAAGCAATTTTAAGAAGTATCTATCTCAGCATATTGTTTTTAAGGCCCAATCACACCAAGAACGATTACTATAAAAAACAAAAACTATATTACAGTCCACACCAACAGACAATGTTCTGTTTAACTTAAGTGTGTGATGCTGTCTTGTCGATTTAAATGCTCACACACTTTAATGTGTGGTCTGGCTGTCAATGTTCTTATTCATTAGCTGGGAAAAAATCGTTCTGAAAGTGACTGCAATAATATAGTTCCTCCGTGTTATCGTTATAGCTGTGGTGTGGCTTTGTGAGAAAACCCAAAGTTTATTGGGAGAATGCATATTTATACAATTGTTCCTATTAATATAATATACCATCACAGAAAAGCCATTTTTATAGAGTATATTTGTACAAAAGTGTCCAGTAAATAAATGCTGCTTTTCATATTCAAATTATCTCAATGTTTGAGGCTTCAGCATTAAAACACAATCCATTAATTCAATCTTTAGATCAGGTACATTTGTGATGTCCACAAGGGTCAGGCATCACAAGGCTCTTTTACAGCAAGTAAATGGCCTAAAGACAGGAAGAGTCACTTTTGTGTGTAAAAACATCCATGGCAAACAGTTATTGGTGAAGACATTAGCGGTTAAAAGGTCCATTTCTAGATTTCCCCCCAACAGCTGTGGATCAGAACACCACCACCTTGTCTTTTTTGGGTTGTGCTTTCTTCACAGGCACATGTACGTCCTCGTGGTCAGCGCTGATTCTATTGGACAGCCGGCCAAGAGTGATAGAATTAGCTGCAAAAAAGAAGTTTGAGCTTAATGTATCTGTTTTCAGTTTGACTTGAACAACAGAAATATTCAGAACAGAAATGAGACTCACTTGAGCTCTGGTGTTCAGGACAATCTTTCTGAAAGTGTTCCACTGAGCCACAAACCCGACAGCAACCGCCTACAGGAACAAAACACCACATATGTTGAAAAATGATTCAGATATGCTATTATATTCTGCCTAACCACCATATGAAATAAGTCCGAAAAAAATCTAATATTCTGTAATGGAACAGTTTATTGAAGCGTTAGTCTCTCAATATTAAAAGTTTGTATGTGTTTTTTTTAAGTTTCAAATTTGATAAATAGCAAGTTTATTTATATAGCACATTTCATACACAATGGTAATTCAAAGTACTTTACACAGAAGAAATGAAAATAATCAAAACTAATAAGAATAATCAAAACAGTTTAGAATAAAAAAATACAATACAGTAAAAACAGTTGTACGAACAGTGGCACTGTGCTCATTCAGTAAATGCATAGCTAAACGTGTTTTGAGTCTGGATTTGAATGTGACTACTGTATGAGCAAATCTGATTTATCAGATTTTAGGGCTCATATACACTCACCTAAAGGATTATTAGGAACACCACACTAATACTGTGTTTGACCCCCTTTCGCCTTCAGAACTGTCTTAATTCTACGTGGCATTGATTCAACAAGGTGCTGAAAGCATTCTTTAGAAATGTTGGCCCATATTGATAGGATAGCATCTTGCAGTTGATGGAGATTTGTGGGATGCACATCCAGGGAACGAAGCTCCTGTCCCGCCACATCCCAAAGATGCTCTATTGGGTTGAAATCTGGTGACTGTGGGGGCCATTTTAGTACAGTCAACTCATTGTCATGTTCAAGAAACCAATTTGAAAGGATTCGAGCTTTGTGACATGGTGCATTATCCTGCTGGAAGTAGCCATCAGAGAATGGGTACATGGTGGCCATAAAGGGATGGACATGGTCAGAAACAATGCTCAGGTAGGCCGTGGCATTTAAACGATGCCCAATTGGCACTAAGGGGCCCTAAAGTGTGCCAAGAAAACATCCCCCACACCATTACACCACCACCACCAGCCTGCACAGTGGTAACAAGACATGACGGATCCATGTTCTCATTTTGTTTACGCCAAATTCTGACTCTACCACCTGAATGTCTCAACAGAAATCGAGACTAATCAGCCCAGGTAACATTTTTCCAGTCTTCAACTGTCCAATTTTGGTGAGCTCTTGAAAATTGTAGCCTCTTTTTCCTATTTGTAGTGGACATGAGTGGTACTCGGTGGGGTCTTCTGCTGTTGTAGCCCATCCGCCTCAAGGTTGTGCGTGTTGTGGCTTCACAAATGCTTTGCTGCATACCTCGGTTGTAACGAGTGGTTATTTCAGTCAAAGTTGCTCTTCTATCAGCTTGAATCAGTCGGCCCATTCTCCTCTGACCTCTAGCATCAACATACTGGATGTGTTTTTCCCTTTTCACACCATTCTTTGTAAACCCTAGAAATGGTTGTGTGTGAAAATCCCAGTAACTGAGCAGATTGTGAAATACTCAGACCGGCCCGTCTGGCATAAACAACCATGCCACGCTCAAAATTGCTTAAATCACCTTTCTTTCCCATTCTGACATTCAGTTTGGAGTTCAGGAGATTGTCTTGACCAGGACCACACCCCTAAATGCATTGAAGCAACTGCCATGCGATTGGTTGATTAGATAATTGCATTAATGAGAAAACAAAGAGGTGTTCCTAATAATCCTTTGGGTGAGTATATATCTCCCAAGAATATGTCTTAAGATGATATTTAAATGTTTAGTTTTATTATTAAAGCTCTGTAGTTTTATTGTGGGGAAAAAATATAATGCAATCCAATGATGATTGACAGATGAACAAATAAACGTTCATCAAAAGCCTGACATTTGACACTCATATTTGAACATGATATTTTAAAACTAATAATAATTATGAAGTAAACCTGCTAAAGTAAAGTTGCTACAGCACAGTAAGTGTTCATCTTGAAATATTACAAAAGTATACTAGTTATTCTTAATTTTCTTTATATACAATATAATTAATTACCACCATATAATTATTAAGCATAAATTGAAGTTTAAACCATCAATCAGAAGACAGAAGATTGTGTACAACAGTTTCAGTAAACTTCTAAATATGCTTTTCAAAAATGATACATTAGGCTTTATAGGTTTAAACGGGTAAATCACTGACCTGCAGCATACAGTCCTTTTGGGTTGTCAGGACAGGCTTTGGACAGATGACCAGTCTGACCACAGATAAAGCATTTGGCGTACGGGTAATTACCTAGAAAACAGCAACATTTATATGATAAATCATAGCAGGTTTGACATTTCATACATTTTAGGTGCATGATATCTCAATAAATCATACCCATGGCAGGATCCACTTTAGCGCGACATCTCTGGATCTCATGTTCAGTTGAACCACAGCGATAACAAATACCGCGGCCCATCTCTTCATCGTTATCTGCTTCTGGGCAGTCGGCGAGCCCGTGACCAGGCTTCCTGCAGTTAAAGCAAATCTACAACCAATGTGAGAGTTTAGTATACAAGTTTGTTTCTACAACAGAATAAAAAGGTAATTACGAAATTTTATCTCGCAACTCAGCATTTTTCACAACAACAGAATTTTGGGGGCCTAAAAAAGCAAAATTTAAAAAAAAGTGTTTCAAAGTTCACGTTTTTTTGAAAGTAGACAATATTACGAATATGTGAAGATGGTGACGTCATGCACATGTGCATTGCATTGTTTTTTTTTTACAAAGTGACATCACCATCTAACTGGCCTGTCAAGTAAACATACCCTTAAATGCCTGACTATTTCTCCACACATTATTACATATCCTGGGGCCCGTTTCAATAAGGAGGTTCAACCAACTCTGAGTTAAAGCTTGAACTCAGAGTTGACTTACCCTGAGATGGGAAACTCCGAGTTTTCGGTTACAGAACAGCTGAAATGAGTTAGTTGAATCAACTCTGAGTTGACTGACTCTGAGTTAAGCGCGTGCACCACAGCTATAAAAAGCCATTATCAATGGAGCGCAGATATTACGAGTCACCATGGCAACAGCGCCAGACAAAAAGAGGTGTTGGGTATAATTAATTACCAAGTAATCTAAATATTGTAATTTAATTAAAGGGATTACTCTTAATTCTTCTTTAATTTAAAATAAAATATGATGCAATTACATTAAATAGGCTACTGCATAAACTATAGACCAATTCAGTATAAAACAATAGTGGATTTAGCATACATTTTTAAAAGGTATATTTTTATATAACCTTCTCCCTCTACACACTTTGATCAATTCAAGAATAATTCATGCAATTGTATATTGTTAATTTGAAAGCATTAAAAGTGCAGTTTCTTGTCTCTCCTCCTTGTATTAATCAAGTGGTTGAGGTTGATATAGGATTTAGAAATATGTAGACCAATACTTTCTAGAGATAGTAATTATTACATTAATCTAACTACACCGTTGAAGATGTCATTTGTTGTTAATAATTCATAACTATTTTAGAGTAACTGTTATAATATCAGAGGTGAAACTGGAAGAATGTTATTCAACCTAAAGTAGTCTACTATTACTTTGATACATTTTACTTAAGTAAAAGTAAAAATACCAGTCTAAAAAATCTACTCAAGTAAAAAGTAGTTAATTTAAAACATGAGTAAAAGTTGCTGAGTAACTTGTTTAACAGCGGGGGTGGGGTGGTGGGGGACTCCCCCATGTGGGGTTGTAACATATGAGAGTTTCAGAGTATGAGAACCGTCTCAGAAAATATCACGGTTTATGGTATTAAACAGTTGTTAAATATATAAACTGCATTATTAAATTACGGTTATTATTTTCATCAGTTAAAATGACAGTTAAATAAATTAAACATTTGTTCAATAAAACATAATATCAACTAACTTCAATAATTGATTATGATTATGATTGACATCTTATTTTTTATCATGAATAACTTATTAACATTTTATTACAATTTTTTCAATGATTTAATAGAAATATATTATCCAAAACAGTGGTAATCAAATAAAAGTTTAGCAAATGTTTTAATCCTTTTATTTTTTGGCAAAGTGCTGCAAAACAGATTTAGTCAATTAAACCATGGACAAACAATATATATATATATTCCTTAAAGAATGTGTAAATACATTTTAGTATTATTGTTGGTGTTTAAACAGCACTTCCTCTTTAAAAAAGGGAGGAGACCGCAAGAAACTCTGGGTTTACTGAAGAAAACCTGCTCCCGACCAGGTTAGGTTCACAGAGTAAGTTACCATGGTAACTGACTCTGAGTATAAGTTACCTCTTCTTTCAGAAACGGGCTTGACTTACTCTGCTTTCTCGGGTTTGATATACCCCCCTTTCTGAAACGGAAAACCCAGAGTTTCCCTCATTTCAGGGTTAACATACTCAGAGTTTCACTTAACCTCCTTTCTGAAACAGGCCCAGGTCTTTAGATATGCATCTATATCTAACATGGATGGATCTCTACCCGTCGCTGTGAATATAAAACTCTCCTGTTATTTATAAGTAACAATAACAGAAGAATAAAATAACGCATTTTGCGACCATGGTGCTTGGAAGGTTTCAATTTGAGCAGACATTTTTGTAGCAGAGCTCCTCTGAGCTCATTTCCCAGTGAGTGATTCAACACACCCGCGAAAACTCATTTTTAACATCTTCCAAATCAATATTTTTGATCGTTGACAGCTTCTCACCAGATTCACCATCAGTGACAGTGACACTATTATTTGATGGCGCGACGGTCAGTACTGCTCTGCAGGTAAATTGCTTCACGTTTCAAAGTTTTGCTGATGATACTTCCTACTCTTTTGTTTTCTACCTGCAGGAATTATGAGAGAAATGTCACTTCATCATTGTGCATCATTTGCACCTTGCCAAATAAAGGTGAAATGCACTGATTCACTCATCAAAGATTTAAATACTGTTGTGCAGAAAAAATATATAAATTACAAGGTTACACACTCAGGTCATTAGCGACCCTATACATAAAATAAAAAATATTAAAATGGTAAAACAGGCATTATTTTATTTATTCTCTATTATATTGTTTATAATTAATTGATTTATGAATACTAAGAAGGATGTCTAACTTTTAAAATTAATGAGGAGAAGGGTCGACCGTCGACGTCCCAGGTCACTAAAGAGCTGAGGCATGCG